CCTGGTGACAGAGCAAGACCTTGTAACATGAAGGCAAAGAATACAAGGAAAGTAAAGTAATTCTAAAAAGTAACTAGATTGGTGGACAGAGATTTAATTAAGTTACATTGTTTAGGCCAGAAATACATATTTAAGGGAATGCTATTTTAGATATCTTAAAAATTAAAAAAAAGTCAGCAACGGTAATGAAGGAAAAGAACATTCCATGAATTTGCAAGAGTAGTATAAAGACACAGTGGCAACGGGGTGCTTATGTTGAGCAAGGAAAATAAGAGCTCTGTGGTTGGAACAGGGTGAACATGAAGTTTGAGAGTTAGGCAAGGACTAGATTATCTAAATCTTTGAAGACCATAAAGAAATAGACTTATTCTAAGGGACAAAAATAAGAAGCTATTGGATAGTTTCAAGCAGCGGATTGACATAATCAGATTTATGTTTGTCAATCAGTGAATTTTTACGGATGCTCTTAATTTTCTTTAAAACCCTTAGATTACATAATTGCTGTTACAGTGGTCCACCCTTACCTGTAGTTTTGTTTTCTGTGGTTTCAATTACTCTTGGTCAACCACAGACCAAAAATATTAAATGGAAAATTCTAGAAATCAAACATCCATACGTTTTATATTGTACACCATTCTGAGTAACAAGATAAAAGCTTGCACTGTCCTGCTCCATCCCAATTGGTATGTGAAACATCCCTTTCTCCAGTGTATACATGCAGTGGATGCTGCCCAACTATTAGCCACTTAGTAGTCCTCTCAGTTATCAGATTGACTGTCTCATGTAGCGTATATAAGGTTCAGTACTATCTGTGCTTTCAGGCATCCACTGTGGGACTTGGAACATATCCCCTGTGGATAAGGTGAGACTAGTGCATATGCATATGGGTTGCTGTTGTTAGGAATAGTTGACTTGAAGATGAGATAATTCATACGAAATCCAAAATTCAGAAAGCTATTTTGCAAGAGACATAAATAGTAGTACTATTAGTACTATAGGTAAAACCTTTCGGGAGAAATGTTTCGAGTTATCATACATAGAAGATATTCTAATAGTCAGAGATGTTCAAATATGGAATAGGCCACTCATCATAGGTATGGACTGCAAGACTGGTTAGTTGCAAGTTGCAGGGAGGATTTAAGTGTTGATGCATGGTTGCAGAAGTGACATTTTAAAGCTTTCTTTTAGCCTAAAGAGTTAATTGCTTTAGTCCGTGTATTTGAAATAAATTTATAATATAAATTTCTGATAATATTTGTAATCTTTTCTCAGGCAAAGATCCAGTGAGAAATGAGAATTTAAGAGATTCTGAGCATTCTAATAACAAAGTTCTCAAAGTCTGTTTGTTTTTGTTTGTTTTTAAATTGCAACTCTGTATTATGGGACACAACACGACTAATATCTTGTAGCATTTGTTTTTAATTTGATAAATAAAGGATACGGCTTTGGGAAATGTGTGTTAGCTGGACAAAACCCCAGAGGTAGTTCTGATATGGAACTACCTCCTGTGAGTGAGTCTCATTCCTTTCAGCTAAGAATCATTCTACAAGGCTCTAAATCCTATAAAGGCATGTAACTCCAACTTCTGATGCAGTGCTTGACATGCAAGAGATATATCCTAAGTATTTCTTGAATAAAATGATCAAATATTTACCATAATCTTCTCAAATATCAATGATCATCAAGGGGAAATTAAAAGGAGACAATGCTAAATGAGCATCTACTACTTCATATGAACTATGCTGTCCACTATAATATGCAAGATCATTAAACATTACTATCCCAAATATCTTTTGACTCCAAAGCAGACCTGTCTCACTGGGAATGGGCTCAGTACCTGAATGATGTTCTTTCTGTGATTATAACTATTCTAACAAGAATCTCCATATCACCAGACCATTGCCCTTGTCCATTGTTTATAACCTATATCAGAAAACTTGTTATATACTTAGAAACAAATTAGCTTTACTATTTACTTATATTGACATATCTTTGAAAGGCAGTCTCCTTTTTAATTGCTAAGGTTAATTCATTTTATTCCTCCTAAGTAACATTTCATTTTTAATTTTTCCTATTAAAAAAACTGCATCCATGGAATAGAATGCTCAACTACTTATATCACTTACCAGGGCATCTTTAATTTATAAAAACCTTAAAAATATATAAAATACAGTATTTCTATTTCTATTCTTGTTTTCACACTCCTTAAAACAATAAAAAAATTCTCAGGCAGTCAGATTTTATACTTATTTGGGGTTTAAATATTATATATTCTGTAATTTTTAAATAAACATTTTTTACTAAAGATAAATAGTATTCACATTGTATTTATCCACCCTGTTATTGCCTATACAATGAATTTTTCTAACATTAAGTAAAATTTTGTCAAAAGATGGAAATAAATGATGAATGTGAAACTATATTTCTATCAAAATTATATAGTATGTGTCTTATATGTCTTAAGTTAGCATTTAAAAATTAAACTATTTCCCTACAGGGAAGAGTTACAAATAGAGTAAGAAAAGTGACATGTTGAAAAGGCTTGAATTCCTGTTTTTAGCTTTAGTAATAAAATGACTTTGAGCAAGTCATTTCACTTACTGTCTGTTTTCTCATCTATAAAATGATAGTTCCTGATTCAGAATTTTTTTAAGGATGCTATGAGCAATATGTGCAATCTTGTTTTTTAAACTGAAGTAACACAATTTTTTTTCTTCAATGACAAATCAGAAATAACATACAATATAGATCCTTTATTAACTTAGAATCATGGTTTCACATGTGTATTGATCCGGAAAGGACTTTATAGACCAACAAGTTTATCTCCCCTCTTTAGCTTTTGAGAAAACTCAGTTAAGAGAAATGAAGAGACTCCCTGAAAGTCAAACAACAAGAATGAGTGGCAAAATTGTAGCAAGGCTTTCAAATTTTTTGAGATGAGTTGGAAATGTCTGCAAAATACATTATTTTTATTCAATGCTTCTATTTTGGAACTAACCATGTCATAATAACATAGGGTAACTGTAGGAAAGATATTTTTTATTAGACATTAAATATCTACACAGTTACTTTTCTGAAGCCACCATCAAAATCATTTTTAACATGTTTTTTATTGATAAAGTTAAGCAGAGAATATTTCTCTGTATTGTTATCCTTTTATACATTTTAGCCTCGTACTTGCCCTAACCTGTAAATACAGCCCATAAGAAATCCCTAATAGGTAAATATGGTAAATTTGCTGTCTCGAGGTCATTCATATTTGGTTGGCCTTTATACCATCAGGAAAAAAGATATTTATCATGGATCCAACTAATATTTCTTGAGCCCCGAGCAGGTGTAAAAATAATAGCTAACATGTATTTCGCTTTTTATGTGCCAGTTTTGAGTACTTTACATGTAATACCTCCTTTAAAGCTCATACTCATTCCATGAGATAGATGTTGTTTTTAGCACTATTTTGTTAATGAGGAAATAGAGACCTGGAATATTTAAATATCTTGCCCATCTTTACAAACATAGAAAGAAACCAAGTCCATGATTAAAACTCTGGCCCTTTTGCTCCTAAGCCTGTGCTCTCATCCACTTTGTTGTACAACTAGATGTTAAAAGCTCTATGATTGGGAGTGTGGATATTACACTGAGTAAAGCAGACAGAATCTCTGCCGTCATCAAAATACAGAACAAAACAACATGTCAGTAAGCGCAGAATTATTAGTGTAGCAATAAGATTCAAGGAGGGAGTAATTAGATTTTTCTGGTATAGTAATGGATGGCTGCAAACAAGAGTTGTAAATAAGTCTTATGACATAGTAAGTAATCAGAATTTTAAGGCAAAACATGCAGATAGAAGAGTAACTATGATTAATAAAAGGGCAGAATGTAGTTAAGTTTAGTTGGTTGGCATGATGGGTACGAAGACATTGCTTTTTGACATGCCAAGGTCTATAAAATAGAACTAGTCTTAGTCTGTGTCTTAGCCTCTAATAAAATTAAGCAATTCTTTTAGCTAAAACTAAAGTAAAAGACTTCCAAATATGGCAATTTTAAATGCAAGCCTAAAAAGTTTGTTTTTGTCCTGAAAACCATAGAAAGTCACAGCTAGTTTTGATAAGACAGAACCAATTAAAATAATATTTTGGAAACATAGATCTAACTGTGGTATGTATGAGGAAGAGGAACAATGTGACCAATCAGAAACTTGCAAAAATATGTGTTTGAAATAAAAATCATTGGTGAAAATCAAGAGAAAAAATCAGATATGAAAAGCATGAAAAAATAGTATCTTCATTATTTTGTGTGTGAAATTGTAATTTTGTAGATGTTAAAATTTTAGAATTTTTTCTGAACAAACCTATTAGTCTACTCATCAATAAAATGGAAGTGAGACAATAAATGCATGTAAAAAAGCTGAGGATGTGCATTTCCAAAAATCACTCCAAAGCATGTTGATGTTTCAAGAGATAATTTTGCTAATAAAAATAATGGTTACCCCCTCTAAATTCTCTTAACTAATGTCCATGTTGTCAATTTGCCAACAAATAAGAGAAATATTTTCTTTTTAAATATATTTCATCTCCTTTATATTCAATATACCTTAAAAAACATATTATCGAACACAGTGTGATTTACAAGATGATAGAATGTAACACACCAAGGAACTGAAATGTATACTATTTTCTTTACTATTAATAATTAAGAGCTACCAAAAAAAGATCAAAGTGCTAATAATGCCTGTCATAATTTTGAAGTGGCAAGAGTTATATATACATACAAAATATAGAAAACTAATAAGCAGCTAGAAATCAGATGTGAAATTAATGATTTTATTAGCAATACTTTTAATCTAAGTAATTGTACTTTGTGGCTGATTATTGTGTATGTGTGTGAGAATGTTTAGGTAAAATACAGTATAAAAAGAGAAAAGTGAAGATATATATACGTAAGTGTTATTATCTATATAACCAATAGTATTTAATAAAACCTATTCATATTCTACACAGGTATGACATTAGAGATGATTACACACTGAGAATTAAAAAGGCTATGAGTACAGATGAAGGCACCTACATGTGCATTGCTGAGAATCGAGTTGGAAAAGTGGAAGCCACTGCTACCCTAACAGTCCGAGGTAAGAGACGTAAGATGTCAACTCTAATTGAACCAGGAGACAATTATTTGGTTAAATTAATAAGTGAACTCACAATCAAAATAATAGATTATATTCTTTTATTATTATATTAAAATGCCTAGATTTTGTGTCCTCTCCATCATTAATTGAAATAAAATTATTTTGAAATTTGGGTTCCAAGTGATGTTAATTTAAAAGGATTAATTCTTATTTAGTAAATAATAGCTTAAATGGTTTAAATCTAATAGTTTATATGGCTTTAAAGTAAATCTTAAAAATAGAAATGACTTACACTAGTTTCTTACATTTCCATTGCTTTCAACTATTTACTGCTTTTAAATGTCATTAGTTACAGAGATACTCTGTTTCCTATTCACCAGTGTGTCGCTTTATACCAGCAAACAGTACTTTATACCAGCAAAGTGCTGTTTTGAAATTCTTTTTTATGTCAGCATTTAAAAAAGCAATCTGAAAAAAAAAAAAAAAACTAACAATGTTTCCAAAGGTGAAAAATGAATACAGAGGAGCTCCAGCCTTGAGATAATCTGATTTAGAAACTGATTTGTGAAGTTCATTGGCCTTAAATAATTGAAATAGTCAGTGCCGCTCTTGTAATAACTTTCACTTTCTGGGTGTCATGCACTTTCTCAGTCATGGAATAATGTTCATTTATAGGCTTACTGGAAATGGCTTATAAGTGAAAGAAAGCATTACTTAACTCTACAGTGCACTAGAATGAATTAACTGTCTTCCTGGTTGAACATGTTGATCACATGAGGTAAATTACATAGTCCAAGGTACCAAGCAGTACCAAGTAGACAGTTATGCTTATTCTTGACAAATAGACATTACCCATAGCATCATCTACACTCACAGAACTTCAAGTGATGATAGTCAAGCACATCTTCTCTTCCACTACTATTAATAGCTGTACCTTCTACTCTCATCCTTCATGATATGGAGATTGGCTGCATGTTTTCATCCAGGTCTCAGTTACATCTTACCTTGTGTAGCCATCCCTCTGACCTTGTGCAGCTTTGTTCCCAGAAAGTTTCATAAAGTTAGAAAGAAGGAATTTGGATTGCAAAAATGTATAAGGGATTGTCAGGTTAGTCTTCCATCTGGTATGAAAAATGATTTTTTTTTTTTGCCAGTTTTATGATTTGGGCTTCAAATCATAAAAAAAGCACTTGCTTCAAGGTAACTATTAGAAAACAGGCACTCTGGTTACCTGGAAAAATATTGGTGCTTTTCATACTTCTCAATCGCTCCCTTCCTATTCAACTTAATCTGTTTTTTTCTCCCCAGACATTCTAGTGTAAACTTAGATACAAAACAAATTTAGACAAAATTGACAAGCTAGTTGCTTAAAAAAATTTTCACTCATTAATTAACAGATTATAAAGGGATATGACCATATATGGATCGAATATATAAAATGATTATATAAGATCAAAATATAATACCCCCTTTGTAAACCAATGAACACTCATTTAAGTCCTCACTCTCTGTAGATGATTTTATGTTTGTTTTTAATGAAGCAGCCCTTTGCAAAAACAATTCACTTGACCAAATTATCCCCAAAGTTTGCAGGATTTTTTTCTGAAGTAAATGGAAAAATAAATAAACAAGCGACCAAGAAATGTTCCATTCAAAAAATATTTGCTGACTAAACAAATGGTGAGAAAATGTGAGGAGTTGTTTGTTTGTAGAAGCAGCAGGGTTCCTTTTATACTTGAATGCTTGGATGAATGAGACTTGAAGTGTTGTGTTTGCTTTAAGATCTTTCCCAGCTAATTATTTTCAAAATTTGTTGAAAGTTTCAGGTTTAACATTTCATTTACCAAAGCATGGTCCGCATGCATAAATGTTTGAAGCTAACTTACAAAACTAGTAGAAAGCATTGTTTGATCTTAGTAGGATTTTTTTTTTTTAAATCATCAAATGTTAAATGGTCTCTTTCCTAATCTGTATTTTGTAGATGGATTACAGTGTTTTTTCTGTGTGGCATGTATTTATCACTTGTCTAAGATTGAAACCTCAAAAACTAGGTTAAAGGAGAAAATCTCCATAATATAATGTGGAGTAAAACATTGTTTAAAAACATTTTTTTAACCATTAGGAAAAGCAGTTGGGATTTCTCATGCTAGGAGATTAACAGGGGGGAAAAAAAGCACATTATTATCTATGACTTATTTTTTTCTGTGCTCATTTTTCTATGCCCATAAATGAAATATTCAGTCTTTCTTTGGATTGTTTTATTAGAACAGAGTCAATTGACCCAAGAGGCCATGTCCATTTTCATCCATTTAATGCAGGGACACAGTTTAGTTTAATTTACTGATTCTGAAAACATCCACCTGCTGGTGTTTTTCAGGATGAAATGTTGCTATGTAGCAAAGATAAGAAGTTTTATGATGATGTTTCTGCTAAAATTTTATCATAATATTCACATTAGCCAATTGAGGAAAAGTAAGGGAGTTTTATTATCAAAATCTGAAATAGATCTACTCAGTTGTTTTCCTTTTAAAAACATGGTTAAAAAAAAGGCTATAAAATGAGGCTCGACATCAAGTGGCCCTTTTACTGACTTTGCAAATGTAAAATTAGAAAGTAATGCTAGTACACAACAAACCTAGCAATTGTATTCTACTCAAATAATTTATTATCTAATATAACTTTTTAAAATGGATCAAAAATGATAAAAACTGCATATTTGTAAGCAAAATTTCCCCCTTTTTTCAGTGGTTTAATTAGCTTTGCATATAGGATCTCAATGGAAAAACCACCTTGTTTCTAGGGTAATAAAGCCTTAAAATTATTAATAGACTAAAGTGAAATAGAAATGTAAATTATTTATTTCAAACATGGTTTCTCACCATGATTTCTTCTTTTTTTTCTCTTTAATATCATAAAGTCAGAATGCCTTTTTCTTTCTAAAAGAAGCATGTTTGAAATTGAGCTTGAAGTGGCAAGCTGAAAAGTACAATTTAAAAGATGAAAGACAAAGTTCTTTTTCTAGTAGAAATTGGCAAAATTAAAAGAAATTTCATCAGTTAGAATAAGGCACAACTTTATGATGTTAGTCTGTTGCCTTTTTTTTTTTTTGGTTGTTATTCTGGTGTTCTGCCCCCTACTCCTCTGCAAAAAGAAAGAAATTGTGGTACTTTGGGTAAGATACTTCTCTTTTCCTCTCGCTACAGCAAACATGCCATATACCACAGGATATGGTTTCACTAAGCCAGAATTTTCATGTTGCTGCTATAATTGCCATTCTCTTTCTATTGTATTAATAATCTATATCTCACCATGCCCAGTCATCAACACAAAACTATTCTTATGTTCTAGAGTCACATTATGTATGCACTAGCGCTATATGCACTGGGACATGGGTGAGACACTTTGTTGAAAAAATTCATATTTTGAATGTAAGATATTGTGAAAGTTCAAATACTACTAAATATATTTTTTCTTCATTTGGATGATGGGATTACATGTTTTATAATATTTGTCTATTGCTTTTGCTTTCATTCAAACTGTTTTATTGGTTTACTATCTAAACTGATTTTGCATTATTGTTTTAAAAGAAAATGTTATGAAGCCTACGAATATCTCTCATCATTTCTGTGCATTAATAACAGGGGCAGCCTATTACTACTGATTTTAGTGATTGAAAGTTATGGTATAATAAAAAAATGATAATTTGTTGAAGCAGCAGTTTGAAAGCCATTCTCAGGGTGAACAAGAATCAACTTGTCAGTCATTGTTTCCTGCCCTCTGCCAAAAGAAGAAAAAAGCTTAACAGTAGTTAGGGAGCTACTGAGTTGAAATCTCTAAGGATGTTCCAACCTATTTGTTATATTTTCATCCACCCTGTCCACGGATGAAAAGTGATGTGATCTTAACTTATTACTGACTGAAAAGCAGCGTCAGGGGCTTTTCTGTAGTCCTCGTAATGGTTCTGACTAACCATGCTTAAAATCCAATTGCTATTTAAATCAGACAGCAAGGCCTTCTTTTATTGACATGACATTTGCTAGTCTGTGACTTGAATAGTTATATTCATCAGGTTCTTAACTTCGAAGTAACACAAGGCTGTTCACTCAAGATCTTTGAAATAATAACTATAGTAAGTGATGACAATAAGACTTCACCTAAAATATCTCTCCAATTGCTCATAGTCAATCCTGAGAGTCAAAATAATTATTTTCTTAGAATTGTATTTATAACTTTCAGTTTTATCAAGCTCAGACATCTTGTTCATACTTGAATTATAAGACTAGAAATCACTCTATTGTCCATACTTAAATGTAACATTACACATCATGCATTCTGATAATTTTCTTTTTCTTTCTTTTTTTTTAATTTCTTTTTTATGTTCTCACCACACCATTGTAATGTCTACAGCTCGCCCTGTTGGTAAGTAGCCATCCTTCTATCCACTTAGCATGGCTTTGCACAGTGCTTCATAACTCATGCACAGCAAGATTTGACAGAATGAAATTTATTCAGCCATGTTAAAATAATGCTTGTGAGATTGCTATAAAAGTTGCTCCTGATTTTTTCATCATTTCAATAAACCATTTTGCAGTGACTTTTGCTGCCAAAGCAATGAGTACATAACAATTTTTGTATAAAAAAGTATTTGAATGATTAATGTTATAAATTGCTTACATACAGGAGAAAAATACAATACTTTCCTTTTTTCTTATATGTATTAATATAAACCAACTATTAGTTATGCTTGATATTAGTTGACATGAAAAGTTATAAACTAAATTATGATGTTCTATTACTTCATGAAATTCTTTTATTTTAAGCTACTCAGAGTCCCAGGTTTTTAGGGGAATTTTTAACTGCTGCATATTTATTGCCTGCATGCCTATTTAAACAAAATTAAGTAGAATGCTTCAAGTTAATGTAAGTCGGTGCCTACCCTAAGTGGGGAAGAGAAGCTTGAGCTATGTTCTTGGCATGAAAAGTTAGTGCTTGCGATTTTAATATATCTCATCATTCATTTGGCTTTGCAAAAATTGAAGTAAGTTAACAGTTTGCATTTGCAGAAATTTAAGTGGTAATTATTTATAAACACTGGCAGACAAAAATCTTTTCCAATCATTGATTTAATAATCTTTCTGCATCTCTTTCAAATTTTAGTTTAATATACCAACAAATATGTTTAAATAAATCTTGGTGATTGTGTTACAAGTAAGTGAATAGATGGATGAATGAATGAATGTATTTAGTATTTTGCTTTTATAATATACTAAGAGATACTTTTGTTATAACTTATTCAATTTCAAAGACTTTATAAATTGTCCATCTAGCTTTAAGAGCTTTCTTAATATACTAGCTTGACATTGTTGACCCTTGATGTATATTGGTCCTAACTCAACATTTTTCCTCACTTTGGTTGAAACATTCATGGACTGTAATTTTATATAGTATGTTCTTACATGGTTAGCAAAATAGTAAATAAAACTTTGGTTTCCAATTCTGACTTTCTGATCTGTCTTTCCCAAGCAGTACTTCTTTTTGATTAGTAATTTAATATCCCTGATCCTCAGTCACTTCTTCTAAAAAATGGAGAGAATAATACTGACTTATCAAAGCTGTTGCAGGAATAAGTTTATTTTAAGATTGATCATATATATGAGAAGTGTTTTATGTGCCAATATTGGCTGGCATATGTCTAGTTTCTGAGGCATATTATTTTACATTTTAATATTTTTGAAATATAGTTATGGATTACAATTAATTGAAACAAACTATAGGGTTTTTTTTTGAAATGATTAAATCAATAGTGCATTTTTACAATTGATGTTGCTTAAAGATTGAGGAATATGATGTTAGAATTTTTAGGTCTCATTTTCTTGTATGTATAAGAATTTCTGTTAAGGATAATTTTACATGTATTTTGAATGACATCTAAAATTAAGAAGAGCATGGAAAAGAATGCGATTACACAGAAAAAACAAAGAAAGAGCTGATGGTAGGCTACATGGCCACCTTTTCAGATTTTCTTTCTCAACATCTATGAGCTACATTTCAGGTACAGAGACTCACTCATTTATGTGTCAAGTAAGAAGCATTTTTTAATATATGTAGCAAAATATAAGTGAAAAGATTTATATATATGATATATAACAAAGTTATTAATTATATACAATAAAATATATTAAATTGAAAAATTTAGAACAACCTAAAGCTTTTTTAGAATTCTTGATTACTAAACAATGCAAAAACTTTGCAGCCATATTTAGAAGTTATTTTAAAATATTAAGCATCATAATGTTTGTAGGAAATATAAACAAGATGAATGATTGGATGAGAACACTTGTCAATAGAAAGGATGGAATAAGATACTCAGAAATTCAGGTTGGTTTAGCATTGGCAGTGATTGTAATTATAAGATAATTTTTCAAAAGAATAAGAAAAATCACATTTGAATTATAGATCGTTATATAGAGAAACCTTATGTCAATATACCATGACTACATAGTTCATATTTCACAAGTTTCCAGAACATAGATCAATGTGTTAATAATTTCTAATAGATTTAAAACCTTTAAACATATAAAAAAGTATATTGATTAAAAACTATGATGTACGCAGAGTATTAAGATGTATCTGTCACCTGCAAAGCATTTCAAAAGTTATTTCCATTTTTCATTCTTGTTTGGAATGATTTTTGAAATTCCCATTGGACCGGAACTAAAGAATAGCTTCTTGACACGTTGTATTTTATTCTGGGAAAGTCTGTCATTTCATAAATCTATCTCAAATGACTTATGACAATGTTCAGAAATATAAAGAACTATACTTGAAACTTGACAACTACTATTAATTTTGGAAACTGAATGTTGGATGTGTTTTTATTGGATTATCAAAGAAGATGCCAATAATAAAGAAATTAGTCTCTTTTCTTTGCATCAACTTCTTATATCAATTTTAATTCAGGAACTATAGGTATTTTAACTTTTATTGTATAATCAGAAGGTACAAGTCATGTAAAATGTTGAAATAAATATTCAAGTCATAGAAAAACTGCATTGTTTTTTATATTTGTTTTACACCTTTGAAGCTTTTAACTGTAGCATGCAGGGTGTTTTACAAAGTGGAGACAACAGAGAAAAACAAAAAACAACTTCTCATTCCAATATAAATTAGGAGAAGAAATATTTAACAGGTATATAAAGTTTAGAGGAAATTCCAAGTGTAGTTCATGTCTAAATCTTTTGGAAGAAAATTAGAAGTCAATGAAGATTCCAGAATACATATAGATTCAGAAAACTATCACTATATTAGCTATTGGATGAAACTTCTTGGTGATCTGTGTGGACAGCCTAATTTAGAAATTATTATAAACCCTCAAACTAGAATTTTGTCCAAATGGATGACTCTTAGGAGATGCATTTGAGTTAAAAGAATTTGCAACTCTATACAATTCACATTTGGCATAAACACCTTCTGGCCTGTACTTTTGAGATGCTAGGAAAACTTGATTTAGAGACTTCCTCAATGTGGAAAATATTACTGAAAGCAGACAATTACATCTTTGCCAATGGAGAAAAGTATTTTCCACATTTTACTTACTCATCTACAATGCCACCAACATTTCAAAAAGAGCCTTTTAATCCAATTTTCATATTTGCTGATTGCCACAAAATTTAGACAAATGCCACTTTCATCATTCAAAATCCACCAGCCCTTCCTGTGGTTTTGACTTTTTGCTGTTACAAAGGCATTCTTTATATAAAAGCAACAGTGCATCCTAGAATGTAGTTAACTAGGAATGCTGAAATATTTATTTGTTTATTTGGAAAACTCTTCTGATGAGGAAACTGACAGAAGAAAATGGTCTAAATAGGGATAAATATCTTGCTTCCTATATCCATCTGTCTTAGTTTTCTATTGGAAGCCTTTCCTAAGCTTAAAAATAAAAAAGAACATCTATTTTGGAGATGGGCAACACATTTTTCCTAGCAGCAACTCAAAACATGATGAGTAATTTGGAAAAGAACTGTCAAACCTACCAGCTGCCTTGCTTGTGAAGCTGCCCTGCTTCGTTTTGTATCTTGTAGACCATATGTTAAATGCTGATTGCCTCGGGTATGGAAACTAAAAGCTGAGTATTTCAAGTGAAACTTGTTTAAAATATCAAAAGCAAACTGACAATATACAACTCGAAAACTTCTAAGTATTGTCTAACTTATTAACTCAAAAGTATGTTTTCTTTTGAAAGAAGAATATAATTGTTCACACATGAATTTATAAGTATTAAAAAGTATGTGTGTTTTTGGCAAAATACCACATTTTAAAATGATTACTTTAAAGAAGCAGCCACTCTTCTAAATAGAAATCTATTGGGACATATTTTTTTTTCAGTGTTTTAACTGCTTAAACACAAGAATTAAATATATCCTTATTTTAGAGAGTTCTGTTTTATGAGTCAAAGTTGAGTTTCGTTATAGCATGCTCTCACGCATTTTATTCTTGAGGCCACCAAGAGGTCCAAAACATGTTTGTGATTGAAAAATTCATTCAGGGCAAATTATAAATCATACTTCACTTAAAGAATAATGTGAAGGGTATTTTCAATGTCCTTATCCCCCCTCCCACCTTGGAATTTGGAAAATTTAATGTATAATATATAATTTAACTTGATATTAGAGATATTCCATTTTTTTCTATTTATCAAAAAACATGTAGGTATTATGTAGGAACTTTTGCATGTTGAGAAGCACTTTTTGCAAAAGATGTCCTGAGTGTGTTTTAGGAGGATACCCAGAATTTCATTTCCTACATCCCTTCTTTGGACAACCTATTGCCCCATGACCTAAGGTGATCGTCTCCCTCCTGCCAGCTCTTAATGTTTCCTGCACCTGGCACTAATTATCTACTTTATGCAGAGTCCCATTTAATTATTATTAAGCATCACGTTTTTCATTACTCCATATGTTTTGTTTAAATGATAGATTAATAAAAAAGGCATTCTGTTTTATTGAGTATATCCCAACAGTTTCCACAATGTGAAATGCTTATAATATCCTAGGCTAGTGCTAATTTTTAAAGTGAAAAACAAGTATGGGTTATTTCTCAGGCCGGGCTGGTTTTAGACTTGTGTGCTTGACAATATCTGTCCACTGCCTCAATAGGGAGGCTAGGTATTTAGTTGTACTTTTTTTTCCCCCTCCTCAAAACTTGTTAAAAATGTTCAATCATCTAGGTATTGAATGCTACTGTAGTGAAATCTGAAGCTTAGAAAATATTGTTTCCTCTTGTATGGGATGCCCTCTACTGTATGAATGTGTGGTCTCTTCTTCCAAGTAATTTGCTGGGTTATATCATGGTAGTGATCATTCGATATCTAATATTCCTAGAATGGAACAAGCCACTTGAATCTGTAGATTCATGCT